ACGTATATGAGCACGATCCTTCGCAGTAAAGCACTATTTGAGCAATAGTGAAAATCAGACCTGAAAAAAATTTCAGGCCTGTACGGGATTCGAACCACTGACCTCTGCGATACTAGTGCAGCGCTCTACCAATTGAGCTAACAAGCCAACTGGGAGCAGGCCATCAAATTAATTCGACATAAACCCGTAGATGATAAATCAAACAACAACAAACATATGAAACATATGTGTGAACTGCGGTTATGAGACGTATATGAGCACGATCCTTCGCAGTAAAGCACTATTTGAGCAATAGTGAAAATCAGACCTGAAAAAAATTTCAGGCCTGTACGGGATTCGAACCACTGACCTCTGCGATACTAGTGCAGCGCTCTACCAATTGAGCTAACAAGCCAACTGGGAGCAGGCCATCAAATTAATTCGACATAAACCCGTAGATGATAAATCAAACAACAACAAACATATGAAACATATGTGTGAACTGCGGTTATGAGACGTATATGAGCACGATCCTTCGCAGTAAAGCACTATTTGAGCAATAGTGAAAATCAGACCTGAAAAAAATTTCAGGCCTGTACGGGATTCGAACCACTGACCTCTGCGATACTAGTGCAGCGCTCTACCAATTGAGCTAACAAGCCAACTGGGAGCAGGCCATCAAATTAATTCGACATAAACCCGTAGATGATAAATCAAACAACAACAAACATATGAAACATATGTGTGAACTGCGGTTATGAGACGTATATGAGCACGATCCTTCGCAGTAAAGCACTATTTGAGCAATAGTGAAAATCAGACCTGAAAAAAATTTCAGGCCTGTACGGGATTCGAACCACTGACCTCTGCGATACTAGTGCAGCGCTCTACCAATTGAGCTAACAAGCCAACTGGGAGCAGGCCATCAAATTAATTCGACATAAACCCGTAGATGATAAATCAAACAACAACAAACATATGAAACATATGTGTGAACTGCGGTTATGAGACGTATATGAGCACGATCCTTCGCAGTAAAGCACTATTTGAGCAATAGTGAAAATCAGACCTGAAAAAAATTTCAGGCCTGTACGGGATTCGAACCACTGACCTCTGCGATACTAGTGCAGCGCTCTACCAATTGAGCTAACAAGCCAACTGGGAGCAGGCCATCAAATTAATTCGACATAAACCCGTAGATGATAAATCAAACAACAACAAACATATGAAACATATGTGTGAACTGCGGTTATGAGACGTATATGAGCACGATCCTTCGCAGTAAAGCACTATTTGAGCAATAGTGAAAATCAGACCTGAAAAAAATTTCAGGCCTGTACGGGATTCGAACCACTGACCTCTGCGATACTAGTGCAGCGCTCTACCAATTGAGCTAACAAGCCAACTGGGAGCAGGCCATCAAATTAATTCGACATAAACCCGTAGATGATAAATCAAACAACAACAAACATATGAAACATATGTGTGAACTGCGGTTATGAGACGTATATGAGCACGATCCTTCGCAGTAAAGCACTATTTGAGCAATAGTGAAAATCAGACCTGAAAAAAATTTCAGGCCTGTACGGGATTCGAACCACTGACCTCTGCGATACTAGTGCAGCGCTCTACCAATTGAGCTAACAAGCCAACTGGGAGCAGGCCATCAAATTAATTCGACATAAACCCGTAGATGATAAATCAAACAACAACAAACATATGAAACATATGTGTGAACTGCGGTTATGAGACGTATATGAGCACGATCCTTCGCAGTAAAGCACTATTTGAGCAATAGTGAAAATCAGACCTGAAAAAAATTTCAGGCCTGTACGGGATTCGAACCACTGACCTCTGCGATACTAGTGCAGCGCTCTACCAATTGAGCTAACAAGCCAACTGGGAGCAGGCCATCAAATTAATTCGACATAAACCCGTAGATGATAAATCAAACAACAACAAACATATGAAACATATGTGTGAACTGCGGTTATGAGACGTATATGAGCACGATCCTTCGCAGTAAAGCACTATTTGAGCAATAGTGAAAATCAGACCTGAAAAAAATTTCAGGCCTGTACGGGATTCGAACCACTGACCTCTGCGATACTAGTGCAGCGCTCTACCAATTGAGCTAACAAGCCAACTGGGAGCAGGCCATCAAATTAATTCGACATAAACCCGTAGATGATAAATCAAACAACAACAAACATATGAAACATATGTGTGAACTGCGGTTATGAGACGTATATGAGCACGATCCTTCGCAGTAAAGCACTATTTGAGCAATAGTGAAAATCAGACCTGAAAAAAATTTCAGGCCTGTACGGGATTCGAACCACTGACCTCTGCGATACTAGTGCAGCGCTCTACCAATTGAGCTAACAAGCCAACTGGGAGCAGGCCATCAAATTAATTCGACATAAACCCGTAGATGATAAATCAAACAACAACAAACATATGAAACATATGTGTGAACTGCGGTTATGAGACGTATATGAGCACGATCCTTCGCAGTAAAGCACTATTTGAGCAATAGTGAAAATCAGACCTGAAAAAAATTTCAGGCCTGTACGGGATTCGAACCACTGACCTCTGCGATACTAGTGCAGCGCTCTACCAATTGAGCTAACAAGCCAACTGGGAGCAGGCCATCAAATTAATTCGACATAAACCCGTAGATGATAAATCAAACAACAACAAACATATGAAACATATGTGTGAACTGCGGTTATGAGACGTATATGAGCACGATCCTTCGCAGTAAAGCACTATTTGAGCAATAGTGAAAATCAGGTCTGATTTTCACTATTGCTCAAATAGTGCTTTACTGCGAAGGATCGTGCTCATATACGTCTCATAACCGCAGTTCACACATATGTTTCATATGTTTGTTGTTGTTTGATTTATCATCTACGGGTTTATGTCGAATTAATTTGATGGCCTGCTCCCAGTTGGCTTGTTAGCTCAATTGGTAGAGCGCTGCACTAGTATCGCAGAGGTCAGTGGTTCGAATCCCGTACAGGCCTGAAATTTTTTTCAGGTCTGATTTTCACTATTGCTCAAATAGTGCTTTACTGCGAAGGATCGTGCTCATATACGTCTCATAACCGCAGTTCACACATATGTTTCATATGTTTGTTGTTGTTTGATATAAATTAAATTGTTCGAAATTAATTAAGATGCCGCCCAGCTGAAGTTAGCTTGCAATCAGGCAAATTATCTGAGGAAAAGAAAAAAACTTATTTTCGTAATGATTGACAAGCGACGTGAGTATAATAAATAATGTACCGTAACATAATCACAAAGCCAAATTCTCTCTCGTGTCTTAATAACACGTAACCTTAAGACAAAACTTCCCATGAAAATTTGCATGTCCATGGAAAACGAAATCACTCATGGGTTTCCATTCAAAAGAAGAGAGAAATAACCGTTGATTTTTAATTATTCCTCCGTTAAGTCTCGCCATTCTGATGGTGCCCCCCTTTCGCTGCATGATTTACAAAGCTTTTTCTGGCGCTCAGCGTATCAGCATGAGGGTTGGTTTTGTAAATTCTTATCGCTTTGGAAACCGATAATATTTACAGAACTAGGCATTAGCCGAAGGTCAAATGTTAGTTGTGTGTACCATGAGAAAAGAGAGCGCTGATTCGTGACTGTATCGTTTGGCGACAACGATTCTACCTCGAACTGGAACTTACTCTGTATAAATAAACAATTGAAGCTGATTACTTGCACAAAAACTTACGCCTTAATTCCCGCGGCTACCAAAATACGAAGCAGACCAAGAAAGAATACGAATAGACTTATCGAGATAGAAGGTTCTTAACTTGCATGAATATTGGCCCCATTCTCTTCATACAAAACCCAGGACGTTGAAGCAAAAACTTTTCTTTAGGTAGCTTAACTATCACACCATGCTATGCACAACTTGCCTATCTACAGTAAAAACAAAAAGAGAAAGATTAGACACAGACTAAATCGATCAGTGTAACGGTCCAATTCCCTTGGAAACAGAACAACTGCCACTTTTGTTTCCACTTTCTTGGATGGTGTTCTAATGACTTCTACAACACCTTTGACGTACAACCTGTTGTCTGAAAGAGAGCCTTTCTTCCCAACATTTCCTCATCAAATACGTGTATAACGCTGTAAACTCGCTCCATGCATTTCAACGTGGTTAGTAGCTTTCACGAAAGTTAAATCTACCATGTGGCTCAATTTCGACATTTCAACATGTAAAATACACCCTACTAACAATCAAGTTTTGCTGAAAAACTGAGCACTTTGCCTTTAAACACACCTGAAAGACCTGGCTTCACTACCAGTAAACCTCAGCCTCGCTTGGTTCAGCAGCGGAAACCGTGAAAAGTACTTGCAGGCTTCTTTATGGACACCTCTGACACCTTTGTCTATTTTCGGGGCAAAAATGATAAGTTTCTAACTTAATGACCAAGAATCTTACAAAAAAATCCCGACTAAAGAAATCTCTTTCGTGTGTGATGAAGTAATCGGCAGGTTATGGGAAACTCAAACCTTTAGCGATGTTAAAATTTGCATACTGTCATTTCAACACACCTAGAAACTCCCATTGTTTTCTGAGTGACTATTCGCCTCAAGGCGCCGCCACTTCCCAGCAGTCAACCTTTCTAAACCGATCTACATAATTCTCTCCCGAAAAATTTCCGTATTTCTTCAAACGGCGCTAGAAGAATTTACTTAGCCATCTGTTACGATCTCTTCAGCCTTCGTGATGGCGTGCTCTATTCTCATAAGTTGCATTTAAGACCTTGGCACTATTCGAGAGAGTAAAAAGTTACGTATAAATGGTCGTTGAGTTAAAAGCATTTACCTAACACAAAAACTTCGGAATAAGACTGAAACAACTTCACGAACGCTTCATCATAGCAAACTCTAAAGATAATTGCCTCAAAGCTGACTCATAATTAAGCCTCCGCAAATTTCATTAATATTTAAAATGATTCACTCGCAAACCCCCATTCCACAAAAGAAGTATCTCCAACAATCTTCCAAATCGTGTGACCATTGTAATTCCCATCAGCCAAATTTTATTAAGGTTTGACTTTTCCTTTCCTGCGATAGACAGTATGCAAAAGAAGAACAAAGAAATTTGAAACACAAATGTTTCTCACGGTTCGCTTCCCCTCTCTCCCACTAAACAATTGTTTCGTTATTTTGATCGCACACAGCTGTAATTATTGAAACGATTATAGTGGTGACGTCAGACTCTATTCAAATAGACTTGAAGTAAAGGCTTCATACTTATGAATATTTATCCCTCCCGGCTGAAAAGCTAATTTTAAATAGCAACAGGAGTTTGGCTTTACAATAAATGTTTCCGTGAAACTCCGTTTAAGAAATCAAACATCATTGCCATTGCCAATCGGACGGGCACTCATTTCATGATGGTTATTGGATGAAAGACAAAACACTGCGTGAATTCCAACTTAAAAATTCCTTTTTCTGCTCGTAATCAACAACTGGAATACATTACATTGAGCCTTGTCAAATCAACAAGATACAACAGGTGCTTCCATGGGTCAAGAAACTTATTGCCATCGGCCTCCCTTTGGGAATTGGCCCCACGTTACTAAACATGACAGGAAAAAGGAGGGGAATTAAATACACAGCAACGGCTTTGAATCGCCATAGAAAACAAATTCGAAACAAAGGAACATAACACTGAGTTTGGGTGGAGTTTTTTATTCCATAAATATTTAAAACTCGCTCATAAAACTATCGTTCATTCCCTCGTCAGCTCTTATATTTAGTCTGTTGTGTAACACAGTTACATATTTACTGTGACTTAGTAGGCTGCCTGCGCAAAAAACTGAACCATTTTGCAGCAAAAAAAACAGTAATATAATGTATTTTCTTTCGGTTTATCGGCCTAATAACCCATGCGAGATGCCGAGAGAAGACTCATAAAGTTTGTAGATTACACGCCTTCGGTTGGGTCAAACTAACAAACTCAGTTGCTGTGGTAAGCTTTCCTTCTAAGAAAAGCTTTAAAATTTTCCCCTGAGAGCAGAAGAAATTTCCCGACGCAATTAAGAACTGCACTGAGGGCTCACGTGATATGGAATTGCACCTGCCGAACTGAGATTTTTCAGAGCACTTACCCGGTATGCAGTAGGACCTCGCGGGCACTAATATCCATCCAGAAGAGTTGATCATGAAAAACAAAGGCTGGGCGACAGGTAGAATTCCAAGGGTAAGTCTGGTGTAATTGATTGATTTGTAGTTGTACAATTAAGTTTGTACCAAAGTCTAAGAGAATGCGTTCGTTGACCGTCTGCAATAAAAAATATTCAAGCCGTTATATGGAAAAAACTGTTTTGTAAACTTGTCAACAACAGGAAGGCGCCTTTGATAATAGCTCATGCGATCATGCTTCCGATCAAACTCTGACAAGGCTCCTTATCTAAATTTCTTCTTGTCAGTAATTCTAATCCGCATCGATCTTCTCCATCATTCAAAACCCCTTCTTTTTTTGGTTAATTCCACCTTCTTTGAAGTTTATCGACACCAGAAATTTTTGGAACTATATAACATGTCCTTTTATTTTGATCACTTTTCGTTGAAGAGTTGTATTCTTATAGTAATCAAAACAGCCATTCAAAGCTATGGAAAATCCGCATGAGAGCCAATAAGAACTCAAGTAGTGAAACTGCATAAGGGCGGGAAAACGTGGTCAACTAAGTTGCAAGTGGTTTTAGCTTTATATCTGATTGGTTGAGAAAAAGGCACGAGATTTCAATCACAGAGCGAAGTAAAGCAAAACTAAATTAAATGCAATCCTGGTTTAGTTTCGAGGATCATTTCAAAATTTTTCAAAATAAAAATCCCAACAAACCTGGAAGCTGCCTCAAAATTATATCATAACGTAGTCCTTTCAAATTAAGCAAAAGTCACCGGCATTGCAGAGGTCATGAGTTCAAATCACGTACGGGTTTGAATTTTTTTCAGACCTTATTTTCAATACTGCATAAATAGTGTTCATTACTGCGAGGATCGCTTTCATAGACCACTTTCATAAATGGCTGCTGGATTAATATTCTTTTGTTCAAATTTAAATTTGCCTAGGCGGCCTCGTTCTCCAGTACAAAATTCAAAAGAATACATTATCTCAAGCGAGGCCACCCAGGCAAATTTACATTTAAACAAAAGAATATTAATCCGGCAGCCATTTATGAAAGTGGTCTATACCTTTCTTGAAACCGCAGTACGCATATATGATTTTCACATCATTCAAATTCACTGATTCATCATTTCACGGGTTTAATACGAACCAAAATAGTGACCTGAGGCCCGTTTCTCGAAAGTCCTGGCAACTTAACGAGTCTGTAAAGCGGTTCTGCTTTCATTCAAGGTGGGGATTTCAAAAGTTTCGAAAATGATACAATAAAACTATAAGCTAAAGAAACAAAAAGAACTGGTTTGGGTGCCAGAACCTGCTTTCCTATCCTTTAAATTTTGATTTTGAAACATGGCTTCGGGCCCGTTTAGTTACCGAGACTTCCGAGAAACGGGCCCCAGCTCCCTGCTTGTAAGCTCAGTTGGTTCAGTACTGCACCGGTATTGCAGAGGTCATGGGTTCAAATCCCGTACAGGCTTGAATTTTTTTCAGGCCTTATTTTCACTACTACACAAGTAGCGTTTACTACTGCGAGGATAGCTTTCACTCTAAAAACTTCAGCTCACATACATGATTTTCATATATTCAAATTCATTGATTCCTATCCACGTTTTGAAAAACTTGAATTGTACTACACTTCTAGTGAAAGTTAACCAACCTATTATGTTCCAGCCATAGCTGTTGCCTCCTGCAGATTTCATCATGATCAATTCGAGAAGGATCACCAAAGTATGGAAGCTGTTAGAAGGAAAAAATGTTGGAGTTGTGTTTAGAACCAATGAAGTTAGGACTGTTATTCTATCAAAGTCGGCTTAAAATGTACTCAGTTCCAACATGTGCACGTGCATTATCTGAAGAAAAGGGACGGTGGTCACACCATCTCATTGATAAAAAATCTTTTGCTGACCACTTCAATAAAACAGAAGAGAATCCGACGATTATGTAATAAAGGTGTTACCTTCCAAGCAAATCTCTGCGTTCCTTTCTGCCTTTGACCCAGACCCCCGCCCAATCTACGCGGTAGCCAGGATGCCATCACACCTGCCCGAATACGATCCACCAGTACCTAAAAAAAGAAACAAAGAGTGAGCTCTATAATCACCTACGAAAATTAGCTTGTCCTCTCTTTTCTCTTTTTCTTGGTCTATCAACCTGTAATAAATGGTTTTATACCACGTTTCAAAGTATAAATTTCAATATGAAGAATTCTAACGGCACCCTCTACGAATGTTCTTTTCAATTTCATCGTTACGCAGCAGCCTTCGGTATTCAAAGAGCTTTGTTCTTCTCACTGACCCACTAAAAATGAGTTACAAAAAAACCAAACGTATGACAGCATGACCAACCGATCAACAGAATAGAAACCTAAAAGCTTCTCCAAAGTGTAAGTATGACTCTGGAACTAACTTCTATTCTTCCAATCCAGACACTCGGCTAAAGGTAATGTTTATTCCACAGTTTCAAATATGAAACTCAAAATAACTCGACCACAAAAGATGAATGAAATTTCGCGAAAAATTATCAGAATGTTTTGTTCTGTGGATGCAAGGCTATAAAGTACATTCTGTAAAACTGTTGTGCACTTCATGTAATCGTAAATGATGACCGTTCCCATGGGGTTGAGTAAGTAGACAGCAACGCGATTGAACAGTTATCGAGACGCAAAGATGAAGTAACGTTTTTGTTTCCAGCCGGTAGTACAGTCCCATTCTAGACAGTTTTCAGTTTTTCTGGTATCTCTTTCTCTTTACCGTTCTTCCATCAATCACAAGGGGTTTATGTCTCGTCTCTCTCAAGGCTTTCTTTGCTTCACTTTCATCTGAAAACTAACAGAGCAGGACTGCGTGTTGGATTCACCCTTTCACTCCTGTAACTAATAACTGACCAACATTTTCCAGCAGAAAAGTGATGTGAAGAGTGAGATATGCATTAACTCGGAAATATTTCAAGATTTAACTCCCAATTCTTGGAGCTACAATTTCAAAAAATGCACAGCAAGGATAGTCTCCTCTCGCAGCCGTTCTTTGTCTCGGGATCCCCCTGTCTCCCTCCCCACGAACGGCCGTTTGTGGGGAGGGAGACACAGGGATCCCGAGACAAAGAACGGCTGCGAGAGGAGACTACAGCAAGGACAGTACCTCCACAAAAGCATAGCCCTTTGATTTCCCTGTTTTTATATCCTTCACCAGCCGAAGCCTTCTTATTGAACCATATCTGTATGATGACAGAGGAAAAGCAACTTCACCACTTGAATGAAATTGAGTTAGAGAGCTTATACAGGAATTGGTTAAAGGAAGTTACATTGTCCATAATGTTCGCTTAATAAAAGATATTATATATACAAGCCTAAAAAATTAAGAAAAAATTATTAAAATGTTTAAACCAAACGTTTTCAGCTGTTTGCCATCATCAGGGTTGAAAGTGATGAACGTCTGTACATACATATATATCTTATGTGATTCCCGATGGGAAAAGTTTGAAGACGTAAGAAATAATTTGCTTCTTCAAACTGGGGTGGAATTGTTAGATCATTAGCCCCTCGACGATCCTACGCTTGTGGAATGTTTCTGCTGTGGAGAGAACACGCCAAGTGAAAGAATGTGATGGATTTTCCCGCAAGTGGCATTTATTGACAGAAATACATTTGAACTCTCTTCCTATTGAGCACCACCAGTAAAATGTGCAATACAACAGGTGAACAGATATACCTGCCAAAAATATCAAATAATGTTTCCTCTGTTGTTTTGTACTCCTGGAATGTAAACAAAAATGTCTCAAAATACTGTCAAAAATAAAAATAACATCACAACATGAACCTCAAAC